TGTATCCCCTCTTGTGTGTGTTTAGTTCCTCTCTTGGAGTCTGCTAGGACATCAGCTTCCTGGGAGAGGGCCATGCTTTGTTCTCTGTGGCATCTTCAGTTCTAGAACAGCGCTGGGGTGTCACATGCATTCAATACCCAGCTTTCGAATCACGAGAGAAAAACATTGAATTTAACTGGGGTTTTGTACTCCGACTGTGGAATTATTGTTGTTATGTGAGAAGTGGACAAAACATGGAAAATGGAACATAGGAGAGGTTACGCTGTTGCGTTATTGTGAAGAGCAGATGTGACAATCCGTGTCCAGGGACAATCGTGGGAACCTAGAGGGGACAGGAATCACAGAAGCCAGAAGGACTCAGGAGTCCTAATCTGGTGCTGTAGGATAAGCACTGAACCGCAAGGTCAGTGTGAACCGCAAGGTTGATGGTTCAAACTCACCAGCTGCTCCTCAGAAACCCTATACAGGGTGGCTATAAGCCGAAACCAACTCAACCACCCTTCACAACACCAAGGACCCTAAGAGCCACTGTCCTCATGGTCCTTCCTACTGCGACCACTAGGGGGCAGCCCACTGTTGTTGCTGTTGTCATGGTGACACCTTGTGTGAAGGGTACCGCTGACCTGAGGGGCTTTCAAGGAAACATCACCAGGCCTGTCCTGCAAGATGCCTCTGGCTGGGTTTGAACCACCAATGTTTTTGTTAGTATTGAGTGCTTCACCTTTTGTGCCAACCCACAGAGGAATGCTATCCTGTGTGGTGAGTGTGTGTGTATGTGTGTGGAGCGTGTAGGTGAGCTGTGTATGTATGGCTTTTGTGTGAAGTATGTATATGCATGAGGCACATGCAGGTGCATATTTATTGGTATGTACTGCACATGTGTTGTGTGTATGCATGTTGTATGTAGTGTATGTGCTGTGTGTATATGCATTGTATATGGTGGGCATGTGTTGTGTACATGTACCCCAGTGTTGTGTATGCACCTGCGTTGTGTGTATGTGTGGTATTTTTGTGTTGTGTGTAGATGAATTGTGTGTGTGTCAGTGTGGCATACATGCAGGTTGCATGTGTGTACATATTGTTTGTGGTGGGCATGCATGTTGTGTGTGTATACATATGGTAGTTATGTGCGGAGTGCATATTGTGTGTTGTGCATATGTGTGTGTATGGGATGTATTTGTGCACGATGGTTGCATGTGCTGGGCATGTGTACATATGGTATTTATGTATTGCATGTATGCATGTGGTGTGTATATATGTGGAATGTGTGTGTTGTGTATATGGGTTACATATGTGCATGATGTTGCATGTGCTGGGCATGTGTGCTGCCTGTGTGTATGTGTGGGATGTATGGTATTGTGTATTTGTGTGTGTATGGGATGTATTTGCGCTAGATGGTTGTGTGTACTGGGCATGTGTTGTATGTGCCTTTGTGTTGTATGTGTGCATCCCTTACTTGCTGACACATACTGGCCGAGAATTTATCAAATGGAAAAAAAACAATTTGGTTGGAGAGCCCCAGGCCAACAGTGCAGCCGTGTTTATCTCTGTATAAAGAGCGAGCGGTGGCAGGCACAGGCTGGACAGCACATAGAGGTGGATTCTCGGGGACTGTCCCCAGATGCCCACTGTGTGGCCATTGTCCCTCCGCTGGGCTTTACACACCCAGACAGGCTCTTGTGACAGGGCTGGCTATCCTCTCCCTCACAAGGATGCCTGGTCCCAGCTATGATCGGCAGTTGGCAGCCCTGATTGCTGACCAGGGACAGAGGAGTAAAGCCCATCTATAGACTTGTTGGTAACAAGACAGAAAGTCCAGAAGTTATCGTTATGCTAGAAAAACATTACACTTCATAAAACCCAGATTTATTCAAAAAATCTATTCAGAAAGTCTGGAACGCGTAATAAATATCTGTACAGTGCCGCCAAGCGTAAACACAACACAGAAAGCGCGAGCGTGACGCCATTTGTAAACACAAGTGCAAAGCTCGTAGACAAAGTGCTGAGTCTCATGTCCAGGGGAAAGGACTGCTGGCCACCTGTGTCCACAACTTGCTGCTGGCCGCTGGTGGGATCCGGTGGCCCCTGAATTCATCCACGCTGGACACCCTTCTCACTGGGACCTATACTGTCCTTCTCATGTGAGAACCGTAGGACTCTTAGAAAAAGCACAGACAGCAGCTCAAAAGTGCTCCTGTTTGAGGAAGCGGCTTGGAAAAGAACACCGTTTCATGATCAATACTGGCCGACACGAAGTACTAGGGCCACTTCAAGCTTCCACACGTCCACACACACAGTTAATTGAACACCACACATATCTCACTCAATGCAAGTAGAAGGACTCTTGGCCCACTGTTGATGTTTTGAAGGTGTGGGTACATCAGGCGTTCCCCTAAAACAGCAGGGCTACATAGGGACGGGGAGTGGAGGGGGTGCTGGCCCAGCTAACTGGGGACCCAATCTGTTTTTTCTGACCCTGAGGGAATAGACGGTAAGAATGTAGGGAATTTGTGTAACGCTTTGTACTTACTTGTGCTGCGTGTGAGGGAAATGAGAGATCATCACACCTCCCGTTGACAGATCATGGCCTATAAAACCTTCTGCGGGCGTTTGAAAACTTAACTCATGTTGGCAGGCTGACTCTGTGGAAGGATTTCAAGTATTGTTTTGTTTAGAAGAAGGTAGGGAAACGGAGTTGTTTTACAGACATTCAACGAGAGCAGAAGCAGCCACCATTGTCTGGGGCAGTGGAGACCGGTGTGAAGGGCAGTGTTAGGGTTCTCAGTAGGTCACAGGGACCCCGTTGGAGTTCTTACCCTTCAGAGAGGAAGGCTGCAGCAGTGCGCGTAACTAAAGACAGCGGTGTGGTGCCCACAGATGGAAGCCCACACAGAGAGCTTTCCCGGCAGTGCCTGCTCTGATTTTATAGTCCACTCTCTCATCCAAACGCACTGCTTTGATTAAGCTCCTGTGCTAATGGAAAGTTGGATGGATGTGCAGTGAACCTAAGATAGGAAGTCTTTTGCTGAGTTCTAGAATAAGTTTTCTACCGAGCAATAAAGTAAGTTCAGAGCCGATTAATGATGGTGGAGTGGGGGGATTTTAGACCCAGTAGGCTATGAATGCATCTACGGCCTTCCTTTAATCTTTGGTTTCTGGAGCACGAGCTTCACTGGGAAAGGAAGGGCCCTTAGCTGGGCTGTATTTTAGGTCCTGAAACAGTGTGATCAAGCTGAGCAGTTATTTTTCAGAATGCAACACTTCCTGCCTCGAGTTGGGTACAAGAGAGACCACCACCAGCTAACTGCTACAGAGGTGGTCCCAGGTGTGTCAGAAAGTTCGTGGAAACTCTTCTCTGTTCATTTCCCACTAACTTTCTGAAGGCCCGTTGCATGCTCCATGGAGTCCTCAAAGGTTAGTTTTTTGGGTGGAAGTACATCACCAGTACATCTACCTAGGGGCCTCTGAGTGGGCTGAGTGAATGAACTCTTTGTACCACCCAGGGTTCCATGGGGAAATTTTAAGAAAACCTCCAAAATCATTGTCTTCGAGTCGATTCCGACTCATAGTGACCCTGTAGAGGGTTTCCAAGGTGTATATCTTTACGGGAACAGAAAGTCTCATCCTCTGCTGTTGGATGTGAACTGCCGGCCTTGTGGTGAGAGGTGAAGTAATGAGGGTCTTAAATAGGTTGCGTTTTTAAGGGCAGGAAACAGTTCAAGATGGGCAGGCTTTTTGTCTTGATTTTGAGGTGGGTACACAGTGAATTGAAATGAAAGGGCAGAGACCACGAAAACCCATCTCCAACTTAGCAGGCACCCCCTCGATTTGACAAATGGGTCAGAAACAATTTAAAAATCTTAAAAAAGTACATCCTGCTTTGGTGGGGCACACAGGGTCCTGGGGCAGTTCAAGAACAAGGGTGCCCACAAGCCCTGGAAGCTGGCCCTTCCAAGCACAGTTCATAAAACAAGGCAAGTACAGCAGGGCATGGCCCACTCTCCCTGCAAGAACACGGCACACCAACCAACACAGGGATACAAATGACAAACTCAACCTGCAAACAGAGCTCTGCACAGAAACGCTACACACAACACACGCAGCAACACGGCACACCAACCAACACAGGGATACAAATGACAAACTCAACCTGCAAACAGAGCTCTGCACAGAAACGCTACACACAACACACGCAGCCTCCGCTAGGGGACCAGGCACCTCCCTGCTGGGGCCCCAACCGCTGGAACAAGTCCCGTATTCACAGTTTCCAGTCGACAGAAGAACGTAAGGACACGCGGGCCCACCCAGTCCTGGGCAAGGCTGGCCTGGAGAGCCCAGTGTGTCCACAGCCCCTATGACCTGGGGTTGGGGTGGGGGCCTCAGAGCTTGGGCAGCCCCTGAAAGGGCATGAGGAAAGTGGGGGGGGGGCAGACTGCCCCTGGCTCCTTCCTGGGGGAGCTCTTCCCTTCACTGGAATTTGAGACAGAGGGAAGGAGCCCCCAGTAAAAGCTGGGGGGTAATGTTAGAACAACTCTGGATTACTTTGGAGTGTAATAGGGTGTCTGGTAGGTGGCATGGTGCCAAGCCCACCATCTGCTCAGGAGAACTAGGCACAGCTGCCTCCTGCCCCTCACAGGGAAAGTTCTGGAACAGCTTGGGTGGTGCAGGACCACACCGACAAGGTCATCACTAAGGCGTCAGCAGTGGAAGCTGACCCAATTAATGGCTGGATAATTGGAAAGAAAAGAATCCCTCTCCTTGGAAAGCAAGCAGCCTATGACGAGGCCTAGAGGGTGGAGGGCCCAGGGGCTTGAATTCACTACTCTGCGTGGGAGTGGTCGGCAAGCTTGGCACAGCCAGGCTCTGGGGTCCTCGGGTGGTACCCCACCAGGCTGAGAGGGGAAGCGTGGACAGCAGCGATGGTCGGTCGTCCCGGCGACGCAGGGTGACGTCCGTGTCCCGAGTCCCTGGGGCGGAGCGCAGTACTGGTCCACATGGGGCTACAAGCGCGTGGACGTGAGTCTCTTCATGCCGCGGCGCTGCGCCAGGCTGGACGAGAGCACCGGCTCCAGTCGAGGCGCCTGCGGGGTCCTGTTCAATGCGAAGTAGGTGGCCGCCATGGCCCCCTGCGGAGCAAGGAGCGTGTCAGCTTGTCCCCTTGGAAAGTGAGACCCTCCCGCCTTCAGGAGAGCTTGTGTATGAACTCAGGAAGCCGTAATATGCTGTGGGATATGGGGATCTCCCCCCTCCAGAAGAGCTTGCGTATGTACTCAGGGGCGTTCAGGGTTCTAGGGGGAGTGGGGATCCCTTCAGAAGAGCATGCTTATGAACTCAGGGTGTTCAGTGAGCTGGGCCCTATCCTGCACCCCCCGAGCTGAATGACAAGATGAGTCTGGGGGTATAAGTGCAGGGAGGTGTCACAGGTGTGGTGGGCCGGGTGGGGGTGGCTGTACACAGGCCCTTCACGATCATGGTGTCGGCTCCTCCACTCTTCATGCACAAGCCACCCCCCAACCCCACCCCCCCAGGCCACATTAACCTCATTGGGCTGAAATTTGGGGACACTCGGAGTTCATGCGTCAAACCAAATGTTTCCAGTGCTGGGCCAGCTGGGCCAGGCCTGCTCTGAAGGCTCCCTGAGCTCACAGAGCCCACTGTGGCCAAGGCTGCCACTCCGCAGTGGCTCAGACTGACTTGGATACTACCAGCTAGGTTCACCCTGGAGTAGCTCTAAGTCTTTGGGAAGGATCTAGAAGGGCCCACTCCCTGCGGGATGTTGTTTATTACTGTGGAGTTAGTTCCAAGGTTTCCAAGCTGGTAGGTTTGAACCGCCGACCTTGTGGGCAGCACTCCAGAGCTGATTCTATAGCAGCACACAAGCTCTGAATGGTTGGAGCACCTGCATGGCCAGACAGCCAGGGTCTGAATCCTGAATTTTAACACAGTCTTGTCACGTCTGAGGGTGTGCTCGTATCCTATCGGGGTGAAGTCACAGGTGCCACAAACACCATCGACGGTTTGGGCCAGTACCCCATCATCTTATCCTACTGCGGTCAGTACCTTCACCAGGTGGACATCTGGTCTGCTGAGCTGGCTTTGGGATAAGTACTCCCGGTTCACAATCCAGGGGTGCTTTAGGACTTGAACGGCCGTCAGACGCTGCTGAGGGTCCACGTGGAGCATCTTGGATACAACATCCTGTTGGCAGAGTTGAGAAGGGGAGAGGACAGAGCTGGGTAAAGAGCTGCCTGGCCAATCTCCCTGCAGGGCAAAGCCTCACTGTGGACCTGGACTCCACGTGGCATTTTGGGTCAGTGGAGTTTTAAGTGTTCACTGTTCCCAACTGACTCGACAGCACTTAACAACAACAATCACCACCTGAAGGAGACGTGGTGGTGCACTGGGCTAAACAGGGTCAGAAGCTCAAATCCACCAGCTGCTCCTTGGGACAAAGATGAAGCTATCTGCTCTCATAGAGATCACAGCCTGGAAAACCTGAAGGATCAGCTCTACTATGTCCACCTTCACCCCTAACATCTCCCCTTCACCACCTCCACCATCATCCTCATCATCCCCGTCACTAGCTCTACCATCATTTCCATCATCCCCTCCACCATCCTCCTCCTCATCTCCATCATCACCTCCACCATCCTCCTCATCATCTCCATCATCCCCTTCATCATCCCCTCCACCATCCTCATCATCTCCTCTACCATCCTCATCATCTCCATCATCACCTCCACCATCATCCCTACCACCATCCCATCACTTCCTTCTCCTTCACCTCCACCACCATCCCCATCATCCCCGTCACTATGTCTACCACAGTCCTCATCATCACCTCCACCAGCCTCCTCATCATCTTCATCATCACCTCCACCATCCTCCTCATCATCTCCATCATCCCCTCCACCATCCTCATCATCTCCTCCACCATCCTCCTCATCATCTCCATCATCCCCTCCATCATCCTCCTCATCTCCTCCATCTTCCTCATCATCTCCATCATCCCCTCCACCATCCTCATCATCTCCTCCACCATCCTCATCATCATCTCCATCATCACCTCCACCATCATCCCTACCACTATCCCATCACTTCCTTTTCCTTCACCTCCACCACCATCCCCGTCATCCCCGTCACTATGTCTACCATAGTCCTCATCATCACCTCCACCATCCTCCTCATCATCTCCTCCACCATCCTCCCCATCATCCCTGTCACTAGCTCTACCATAGTCCTCATCATCACCTCCACCATCATCCCTACCACCATCTCATCACCTCCTTTTCCTTCATCTCCACCACCATCCCCGTCATCACCTCCACCAATCCCCCTGGACGAGGTTACACAGCGATGGTGGAGTTGGAATCCGAACCCTGGATCTGACTTCTTCCTCAGCCCCTTTACCCAGAAGACTGACAGTTGGCAATATTTCCTTTAGTGGCTAGAATAATCATTTACTATTTTATTGGAGAAGAACTGGGTGATGCTGACTAAAAAGACCAAGAGTCTGATGTCAGAAGAAATGAGGCTGATTCACACAGGGAACCAACCGGCCAAGAAGCTCATTGCAAACTGCCACCGAGGAGCAGGAAGGCTCTCTGCATGGAGCTCTGTCTGTGTGTGAGACACATTTCCTCAGACTTCAGGAAATGAGGAGCACTGCAGCTATTCTTTGCATCTGAGTTACTTTAACTGACAAGGCTGAACATCCATAAGGCTAAAAGATCTCTATCACGCATGGAGGGTAGTCTCCTAGCTTCCTCCTGAAAAAATGCTCACCACAGACTGCACACCTGAGAAGTGATAACATCAGGAAGTGGCTCACCTTCGCTGTGTCAGACACGCAGTCCCAGTTCCCGCCAGAGAGGGCGTACTTGCCGCTGCCAATCCTGGCCAGGATCTCCTCGGGAGTATCATCTGGTCCATTTGCAAATGGGGTGAATCTATGTCATGAGAACATGCATAGCAATGAGCTTCCAGTTCATCATCTGAAGTGACATTTACAAACCGCTCGTGAGCCTTGCTTATTAAAAAGAATAGCTCTCTCGGTTAAACTCCCAATTCCAGGCCTGAAGATACGTGGTAAACCATAATTTATTTCCTAATGCTAGATCTATTTTCCTTACTTGGGCAGAGCTGGAGTTTGATAGGGAAAGTGCAGAAACCTGTGGAAACCCAGGATTGATCTTTGCTGAATTACTTCTGGGTTCCCATAGACTGTGGCACAGTGCTCTCCCTGCTGTCTCCGTGTGACGCTGTGGCATGGCATAGTGGTTTTTGTGGAGACACTCTGGTCTCGTGATAGCCATGGTGAATTGGTTTCTCACTGGATGAGACCCTAAAGTTTGAAGTCAGAGACCCCTGTTTGAGCCTCAGGGCTCTGCTAACAACTTGGTTCTTGAACAAATTAATGATTTGAGCCTCAATTACAAAATGAGTAGAAGAATCTACTCCCAGAACCCTGGGAAGCTCCTACCAGTGATAACAGGTAAAGTCTGGC